ACACAATGTTTATTTCATAGAAATAGCCGTGAAATGGACACTTTAAAAGGTGTTCATTTCAATAATTTGTTTCGCTCCCCTCGTGTGGCTCTACACACCGTACCTAATATTAAAATCTGTTCGCCATTCTCTAAATGAGCCGCCGCGGCATTCTTTAGTGTTATTTTCCGCCACTTATTAGAAGCTATTTAAAAGCGTCTTGCCTTTTGTGAACGCGGTCAACTTTACGAACTGTTTCTCATATCTTCTGTGTTAATTGTGATAATTCATTTCTGGGACGAAGCCGTGGAAGGTCCGCGTAGTTTTTTTAGTAGAGAGAATGGAATTCTCAGCGATGTTCGCTTGTTCTTGGAAAGATTTGCCCAAGAATCGAGGAGAACAAATGCTACGACCTTTGTATGTAGCTATTTTGAGAATGTTCTGGTGTGGGAAAATTTATTTGAAACTACTTTGACCACGAATTAGACCGATATTCGAAAACAAGGGTTTATTTTATTGTAATATATTGTTATTGTTCAGGAACAATTAAAAGCTATTTTGGTTTTCCACCTTCTTTACGCGTTATCAGCTATGGTTAAGTGATTTTATTGGCTTGTGTAGTGACTTTACGGAACGTGTAGTAGTCAACAACTTACAACCTGTTTAACATGGAATATGCAAAGGTTTAATGCTAAGAAAAGGTACATCTGTGACCTCTTGAAGTGTGATTAGAGCTTTCAACATCATAATGGACTAAGAGGGCAGACAATGGTGCATTCTGAATACGTTTCATGGGCAAAATGAAGAACAAAATCAGAGTGACTCTTTTATCGTTATTCAATTTGTAAATGCTGAAAATTTGTTTTCGATTTTCGTTTGGGGTGAACTTATCGTACGAACGAAAAGCGGTGCTCGTTTTATTTGAACTAATTCTAAAAAGAGCTTTTATCGGTGACACGTATAGTCATTTTTTTATTGTAAAAAAAAAAAGTTGAAGAGTACGCCATACCTGAAGAAAATGTTTTTCTTTTTATGTCCATTGCAAAACGTCACTCAAATGAAAGAAAATCTTTTGACGGTCATCAATTTGATGCCACAAATATTTGCTCTGGTTTGTTGAACACAAAACAGAAGCTTCATTGTTCGCGTTATCCCGAGGAGTTTTGGTCGCATATGAAAACAAACTATAAACTGTTATATGCTGCGCTAAGCTTAGAAACGGGTAGAATGGAGATTGTTTTAAATCATGTTAAATAGTTTTGTTGTCCGTCTTGGTAGTGTACTCTTTGCCAATCTGGTTGCGTGTAAACTTTAATTGTTTTCTTAATGTGGAATTCACTACAATGGCCGTCGCGTAATTGTCTCTTTTGAAAAGGAAGTGCCTCACTGGCGTCGCCCATGTCAGCCTACGCGCGCGCAAAGTTTTCAAGGTAATAGGTTACATTTGAGTTCTGTCAATAAACGTCAGAAAGTGGACGATCCTTTTATGCTTCTGTCTTGTAATAACCTCCTTGGTGCATTTACTGAAAATAATTGATGAAAGAATTTACAGAGGGATTTAATTAATCGGGTAATACAGAATTTTCTGTTAAGGGGAACAGATGTTATATTATCGGTTATTAATTAAAACGTTTTACAGTATTTTTATGACGTTGGTCATCCCACAAATTCTCTAGCTTTTCGGTAAAAGGGTCATCTCTACTTGTTTTGTCTCCAAACATTGTGTTAGGATAGTTTTACTCTGTAGAAAAGCTATTATCTTTGTTAGTCAGGTTGGCGCTCCGCCTCAGCTCAGCTTGCAAAGGTTGTAAGGGTTACTAGGTAACTAATATGTACCACTTTATTAAACCTGGCAATATAATACGCGACACGAATCGATCAATCCTTTGGCGGTTTGCTGGGACAGATAGACTTTCAAGGCATTGAGGAATCTTGACTTACACAGTTCTGTTTTCATTTAAGTGTATGTATTTCGTTGATCCTACCCAAATGAATTGCGGAGCCTCCCTGGCTCATCTGTAGAGTATTAAATTCCCTCCTCTTCCTACCACCGGAAATACTCTCTTTAAAAATATCGAATCTTATTTTTACTCACTGCAGCTAAGATTGATTGTGATAAAATCAGCGTCCAAAACGTCCTCGAACGTAAAAAAAAGTCTTTGTATAAACTTTCCAATAATGAACAGGATGCATGTGAGGATGGGCCATGTCACGTTTTTTGAGCTACGGTGGAAACTCGATTTAACGAATGGCAGGGAGCCTTGCAAAATATGTTCGCTATAAGTATAACGAGGTTTCGTTATATTGGGGTTCTTTTCTACATATTTTATTAATACTGGGGCGGAGAATATGGTTCGTTATATCGAGGACTTCGTTTTATAGTGGTTCGTAAAATCGAGGTTCTATTGCTAACTTCCTAAAAATTCGACAGTACTCGGAGATGTTGTTCTTTTTATGCACTTTTTAGGACCAAAAGCTGACGTGACGCTGCCGAGTGTAAGACAGAAAACTAGAGATTGAGGCACATAACTCTGCAAGTAGAGCCAGATATAAAAAGGAAACATCGCCCGCGCGTCTCAGAGCGTATAGCTTAGTTTTTCTGGTGTAAGCGTCATGTGTAACGTCACGACATCAATCAAACTCAGGCAAAAGCCCTCTTTTTGTCATTTCGGTTGTACAAAAGTAGTCTTGAGAATTATCCGCCTCACTTTTCTGTGCGCTTCCTCCACACCCCCGGAATACTTATGGAAAGATAGGGTAGGATTGTGCCTTCAAAGCAAGGCGATATTTAGGTCAAAAACCATTCATTTTGCGACCCGTTTGAGACATGGTGCCATTTTGTACAACTCAGTAATTTCATTTCGCATACAGAGGCTGGTCTTTGGTGGATCTTGACTTTTTCAGTAGCTTCTGATGTAGAGCTGTAGAGTCCAAACATTTTATCCCCAAACAGCGACGATAGAAATGAGATAGAAAAATTATGAGCTAATGTAAAGTTAAAATTACCTTCTAAAGCCCGTGAACCAGGCGCTGAGGCGTTGGGAGGGGTGGGGTGGGGTGGGAAGAAGTCATTAACGCCGGCATAATTATCATATGGCTGGATCCTCGAGAGAACGAGATGAAGCGAATCCTGTTTTCTGATTGGCTATCTGAGCGGACAAGATATACCTATCTTGCCAAGAGATTTTTTTCACCGTATGCTAAGTAAATCCATTATTGACCAAACTTGCTCAACATTGGCCTTTTTTCTTCTTTTTTTAGCCCTGTTATGGACTTCGGCTTCTTCTTAGCCCATAAAAACGCCAAATAAAAATAAAGGTTGCATTCCTTTTAGCCAATCTAAATCCGGATTTTGCGATAGAAAATTCGATTTTTTGTTCCATGTTAAAAAGACCAACCAATCTAAGATTGCAATCCGAACGATCTACCTCTGAACGTGGATCTTTCAGATTGGTATCTTAATCTGGTTTCAGATCTTTGTTCCATTTAATGAAACTGCTTTTCGATCACAAAAACGTGCTTGTTCATCAGTAAACACGGCGGGTCAAGGTTAGTTCAGGCAAAAGTTATTTATATTCCCGCGTTATTCTATGCCGCTAAAGGATTGTAATATATTTAACTCAAGTTCCACTGTCACTCTATATCCGTTAGGAAGTGAAAACGCTTAGATTTTCTCACTGTAAAGCTATACTGTACATTGTCTGTTTGTGTTTAGAACGCGCTTCTCAGCCCTTGAGAATTGGTAATAGTCTTCTGAATTTTCTTGAATCAAATTCCAGATAATTTTAAGTTGATGAGTTCCAGTATGAACCACCACTAGTTAAAGAGCTAATTTTCTTTCCGTTTCTCCACGAGAAGATACTTTTAGCAGAAAGAAGTAAAAAACGATGCGTTGAAATTGAGAAGAAGATCGGAGCGGCAGGCTGCTGCTGTATGGATCAATCTTATTTCAGATTTTTGTTCCGGCTAGCACGAAATTCCAAACAATCTGGATTGTCCAAATCCGAAAAAAGTTTGGCTGAAAGGATTGTAACCAAAAAAATGGTAAAATAAGAAAATTAAGACCTACAGTAGGTCAATATCCATCGATGTTGACCTCACGCTTGATCGATAACACATGGAGCACGAAGTGTGAATATTGTTATATGTAGACTTTTAAAAAGGGCGTATCCGTTATACACGGGTAATTTCTCATAAGTTATTTTTAGAGCCAATGATTTTCTTGAAATTCATATTTAAATGACCATTGCCTGGCTCCTTTTGGGGTTTCCGTGTTTGGTTATCGATGTTAAAAAAAGTTGAGATCAATAACCCTCGAAATGACCATATATAACGTTCTGAATATGATGTTTTACACGCGTCGTGGCAAATGGTTGTCAGTTGCATATTCTTTTCAGAAGAGTGTGCAACTTTGGACGTGAATCGCGGCAAAATCGCTCCTTAACGCCGTGACCCGGCCTTAGCTCAGAACTAGACGTCCTTTTAAATAGTTTATATAAGAACGTCTAGTTAGGTGGAGCTAAGGCTGAGCTAAGACGCAATTCAATTTTGGTCAAAGGTCATGATGAAAACTACATCTTGGAACTCCTCTGCCATGTTTTTTGACGGTGTTTAATTCAGTGAACTGTGTTACGTAACCCATGTGTACTAATATTAATATTAGCCAAACTTTTCGTGTTATCTTTATCATAATTTCTTTATAAAAAGACATATTTACATGACGGAAATGCGAGCAAAAAGAGAAAAACTGAAAACAGTGACCTAGTAAGAGTTTCGCGTAAAGTTCCCCTATTTAGATAGCTTTTTGACGCATTTCTGACCTTCAATGCCGTTGTAGCTAACATGGTTCATCTTTCTTTTCAGCTCCTGAAATTCGTTTCAAGCCAAATGATAAAGAAAATATTTATGCTAACGAAACGTCTGATATCAAACTTCCCTGCAACATCAAAACAACTGGAGAAGAGTTTCCGTCTCACTGGCAAAAGGATAATAAAACGCTCCGACCATCAGATCATAAAAGAATGACTGTTAAGCCAAACAGATGGTTAAAGATAAAGAAAGTCCGGAAAGATGATGCTGGCCTATACACCTGTGTTGTCACGAACAAGTGTGGCGAGAAGAGTTCTGTTTCGATGCACCTTTATGTACGCGAACGTAAGTACCTTATCATAGTCAGATCACTAAATGGACAGACAATCTTATGCCTCTTGTTTTGGGGCAAATACAGGTGTGATCTTTATTCAGACACTAAATTAACCTTTTAAGCCCTAAGCGTGATCAGCATCAAATTTCTCCTTGTAATATCAATGCTTATTGAAACAGAGTGGTCATGAGAATTACAGACATCATTACACAAGATGAATGTGCTTTATATATTTTCAACTACCCCTCTACTTCTGTAGGAAATGAATAGGGGCTATTCATATAAGAGTTCAAATTTTGATCTTAGGGTTTAAAGCGTTAAGAGGAAGCTATAAAAAGAAGTGATCTTTCCGTTCTTAGTCGTCTTACCCCGATCTGGCTGCCATCGAAAAAAGGAAACGGTGGTGTTGGGGTTGGCGGGGGGGGGGGGGGGTGTGGGGGGGGAATTTTTTTTAAACGGCCCCTTTTTTTTTTTTTTTATAATTTTTTTTTGGAATTTACTCCCTCGGATAATTTTTTTTTGTTTTTTTTTAGTTGTCTTTACACGGTACGGGGGGGAGATTTTTATAGATATGATAGGTGAAATGCTATATTAAAAATTAATTAGTATTTTTTTTAACAGGATAAAAGTATAAGATAATGAAAAAATGAAGGATTTTGCTTTCCGGGTCCCGCGCTCCTCACCGGCCTTGTACGCCGTGTTAAATAGGGGGTTGGGGGGTGGGGGGGGGGGGGGGGGGGGGGGCGGGTGTTGGGAGCGCAATTTAATTTAACAGTCCCTCTTTATCTTTGTGTAATAATTTGTTTTACGAATTAACTCACTGCGATAATTTTTCTTGGTTTGCTTTAATAGTGCCTACACGCGATCCGAGCAGGAATTTAACGCCAGGTAAGATTGAGGTGTTAGAGCACAGTTTTCCTTGATTTGAGATCTTAAGCGTGGAAAGAAACTTGACGAATAAACTCTTATGGAATGTTTTTGTAATATATTAAACACGAGGAGTGTTACCTCTGATATCCAAACAGAAAGAAATGAATCCGTTTATGCGTACCATACATTCACCCGCATGATAGTGGAACCAGTTTTAAATGGCACGCTTATGAAGACAATGGGCTTAAAGAAAGGAGGCCCGGAACCAATAATTATACTGGGGTTTTGGACGGCCGGAAAATTCGAAAATTCTCGGAAAATCCGAACGCTCGCCGTTAGTGTTGAGGCTCTCGGCGTCACACCTATCTGCCATTTGGTTTTAACGGAAGTGGAGACTCAGATTTTAAATGGAAGTGCCCAAGTGCGACTTGCAGGTGAATTTAATTTGTCGTTTTAAGGATAACAGATTCAAACGGTCGATGCAAAATCTGTTTATATTCCGCTGCGCTCACTTACGAGATAACAACTTTGTTAAACACTTTTAGATAATTTCGTGCCCATGTATCAAGCAAATTACCTATGTATTTTCCTATTTTCAAACTGCCTTCACAGGGATAACTATCTCTGTTTTCTTATCATTTAAGAGTATTTAGGAAACAGATGTCAACTACAATCGAACCTCCACGTGCGATCACCTCCCATAAGCGACCTCCTATCTATATAAACTGACACCAAAACTTTCCCAGTGAAAGCCTTTAGTTGGAACCTCTCGTCATAGACCACGTCCTGTAAGCGACCACGACATCTTTTCGGGGCTTACGGTTGAATAATTTTCCATTGTTTTTAACCTCCTTTGAGCGACCATTTGACGCATGATCTGATCTCTATAGTATGTTTGCTATGAGCACCTCTCGTAAGCGACCACTGAGTCTTCGCATTTTGGATAGCCGCTTACGGGAGGTTTGAGTGTATCGTCCTTGTCTTTTTGCAGCTGCTCCAAGGTTTACGGTACTGAAACGCAGGCTTCAACAAAAGCTGATAGCCCTACCGGTCGGAAACTCGGTAAAACTTGACTGTTCCGCCGATGGATACCCTAAACCCAGGGTTGCATGGTACAAGAATGGAAAACCGTTTACTGAGAGAAAAGGTAGCTTTCTGTACTTGGATTGGGATTCATATGTGGTGGCTTTGAAGGATGTGGTTCCGTCAGATACTGGGAAATACAGCTGTAATGTCAGTAACCGTCTGGGTTGGATAAATCATACATACTACGTTGATGTGCACGGTAAGGTCATTGATATAAAACGCCTGGAAAATGTAGTCTACGTCGCAGACGTAAGCTAACCTCGGTTAGTAACGTCTGCGAGGCAGTTCTGCGCCCCTAGTGGACTCAACGAAGTACCGGAAGTACGTTTCGAATTCCCTTTCATCTTAATTGGCAAATCGACAATGGCATTTTTAACAGGCCAATCATGGCGCATACTCAAATCCCAGTACACAGGTGGGGCCCAGAACAAGGATATCAGCGCTATTTCACAAACGGGCTTCACCAGAAGTTTAGTTCCGTGTGTGGCGCAGGCTAGGAAAATGATGAAAGAGACTTTGGTTAATTATTTGTTAACCTCTCTATTCCATTCAGCTTAGCTCTTCATTTCTTGTTGGAATTAGAATTGGCCAGAGAAGTTTCAAATTTTAAGGCTGCTTGTTGGGTTCAAAGTGGTGTCAAGTTAATAGAGAAAATAGTGTTCTGGGGACTGGAAATAAAAGTATCCCTCAGTAAAGTAACAATTCTGGGCAATCGTTTCGAAGAGACACTCACTGTTGCTTACGCACAGACTTCTCCTGTTTCCTAGCCCTTTCTGTTTCAGTCAGCCTAGTTGGAGATATTTCAAGTTGTAAAGTCCCTGGAGACTGAAACTACAAATTTATCCCTGAATGCCAACGCAGAACTTTGACAATTCTTTCCGTAGCTTACATACAGACGTCCCCTGTTTTAGGTAATAGGCTGATTTAGCAGCCGTAGGGGAACGTTAGTTGACGACATGCGCGGGCAAATCAAACAACTGGCTTGACTATTTGATTGGTACGTTTCGATTCGTCTTTACTCACAGGTTTTTCAATCTTCTTTTATAATATCGGCGTATCTGTTTTCTTCCTTCTTAGAACGAGTTCGTGCTAAGCCAGTGGTCCTTCCGATGTCAAACGCTACAGTTTTTGTCGGCGAAAACGCGACTTTGATATGCAGGGCATACAGTGACGCCATGCCTCATTTCCAGTGGCTCCGTTGGTTTCCTTTCCATTCCAACAGCTCTGGTAATGACACTGGTAGCAAGTATGAAGTCATACAGCGGAACCAGCAACATTCCATCAATTACTACAGCAGGGGCAACAACAAGCACGAATTCCATGGAGTCACTTTAACTTTGGTCAACGTTACAAAGAAAGAAGAAGGAAGGTATACGTGCATTGTGGGGAATGCAATCGGTTATTCTGTAACGCACGCTGACATCATCGTTCAAGAAAAACTGGGTAAGATAGGTTCAATGCTAAAATGAATACATACCCTAAGTTAGTTCAATGTTGTTGATTTGATAATTATATTACCTATATTTACCTTCTTCTTAGTATTCTTGTCATTTATGTACTCAAATCACTTCGAATTGTTTGTAAATGGGTGTACTGAATGTAATTAATAAGCCCCATGGTTTTCTATAGAGGCTGCACTGCCACCAGAAATTTGTCATTTTTTTTTCTTGGTGTTAATGTCATAAATAAATAAAGTATAAGATATGGTTCCTACTTGTAATGAATCATCCAACAAAAAATAACGCTTTCAAGGTTATGTTAGACTTAATGGACATAAAACCTGAAAGAAAAAAAATGTAATACACGCCATGTTTTACTATATGCCTTCCCAACCGCTTCTGGTCGAAATCGAAGTTATCGTCCTACTCATATTCCAGGAATTGAGGTATCAAAGAAAATTGCCAAAGTGAAGAAATACTTAAACAATTAAATCTAATGAACAGCACACGGCAGGAGGTAAACGATGCAGATGGCTATTTTCAAGCGTGGCCTTGCGTTTAAATCGTGACGTTTAAAAGTGAAAAACAACTCCAGTTGGTGATCTCAGCGGCTTTAAACCAGACCTGCTTTCAAAGTGTGTTTTGCCTGCTAAGCGCCTTATAGAGGGCGCTTCCGCGGAGGGGAATTTACACACTTTGATTCTGCGATTATTTTTTTTGCTTGGGGAAGACAGCATGGCCGAGCTGTAAGTGCGTTGGACTTATAATCCGGAGTTCCTGAGTTCAAGTCCAGCCCTGAGTGCTAACTTGATTTGCTCTGACTCGTTAGTCCCGTTTTCAAATCCAAGCCTTCCTTTGTAAAATAACCAAGTGCGGTTCGCCTTCTACCAGCTGTCCTGGGATTCTTAACTTTGCTTTGTTTCATTTGAAGTATTTGTTTCATTATTCCTGGAGTGCTCCACAAAGGGAGAAGATAATTTATTATTTAAATTGAATTTAAATTTTAACGCGCTGTAGCCTATGTTCTCTGCTGATAAGCATGTATTTGATTTCAGAAACAACTGCGTCACCACCCGAAACAAATGCGACCTTTTGGCAAGATACAAATGAAAATCTTCGCCCAGCTGACGAATCACCAAGACCTTTATTATCATCATCGTCATCGAAGCGAAAAATTCTTATTGCAGTGTTGGTTGCTGCTAGCGTCGTGTTTATAGTGCTGTTTGGGGTTGGCTTTTATCTTTACCGGCGGAAGATGAGATTAGCAAAAGAAGCTAAATACGGTCTCGTTAACAGTCCCAAGCCAAATGAAATCGCTGTGGAATACAGGGCTCATGACCCGTCCGTTGGCGGCTCCCTATCTTCTTGCGGATCAACCGCTCCACTGATGCGGCAGCGAAGTCTACGCTCTAGACTGGGTTCTAACCTCACTCAGGTGTCCGAAGTGGAAATGCCTCTGGACGAAAAATGGGAGATCGACAGAGAGATAATCAGCCTACAGGAAGTTCTTGGAGAGGGCGCGTTTGGCAGAGTCATGAAGGCTGAGGTGTTAGGAATGCCCAATATGCCCTTCAGATTCAATGTAGCGGTTAAAATGCTTAAAGGTAAGTTTTGTATTCTAGTAATCACTGGAAAATACACTTCCGCTTTCATTGCGAGTTTTCTTATGATGATCTTGTTATAGAATACGGCTTCTTTAATTCTGTCCAATACAACGAACGTGCGATTCCGACAGAGAATTCCTTTCCCGGCCGCGCGAACGTTCAGATCGATTGAACAATAGTTTGTCCACGCAGAAGGGAGATTAATAGAGGTATTAGGCTATTGTTAGTCACACATTCATTGTAACCAATGAAATAGACTTCTGTTGAGCATTTAGAATAACAATGAACGATGTGACAGACCTAGAAACTTTCACTGTCACGAGAACAATAGCCATTTCTTCCGATGGTCTTAAAAGTGGAGAGATATGTACACCCCACTGCAAAAGAGTGAGTTACAATTTGTTGTTCAAGTTTCACACTGATAGAAACTACTTGATACCTTGTTTTAGTGGAGAGAAAAACAACGACAGCAACAAGAACAAAACTAACTGTCATGCTTATGCATATGTTGATTTCAGAGGATGCAACAGACCAGGAACTCACAGATCTTGTATCAGAGATGGAGGTTATGAAGACCATTGGAAAACACAAGAACATTATCAATTTGATCGGAGCCTGCACTCAAGGAGGTTAGTTGACCGAGCAAACATTTGTTGATGAATCAATTAAAAACTGAAAAATTGGTTGACTCGTGCTCGTGTGACTGCAAACAAGATAAAATCTATCGTTATCTGTCTTCTTTAACTCTTTGGCCCTATATAAGAACCTGTGTATGGCAAAGACCTCAAAGCACCATTATTAAATTCTGCTTTCTTTTTCTTCAATCATAGTTGTTAGTTTGGTTTGGGTACGTGCATGTTGGTCTTTTGGACTACTGTACAACGTAACGTTCCAGACCGCTTTAACATGAAATATTCAGAAACTATCCAGTGCCAGTTCACAAAATTAGACGTTCTTTTTAAAAGTACAGTCAAACCTCCATGTGAGACCACCTCTCGTAAGCGACCAACCTCCCATAAGCGACCATCTATCCAAAACACATAAAATTTCCAAGTCAAAGCCTTACAGTTGGAACCTCTAATAAACGACGACCTCTGGCAAGTTACTGCGACCCCTTTCAGGGTGACGGTTTCATAAATTTCCATTGTTTCCAGCCTCTAGTAAGAAACCACTGGACGTAGTGATATCCATACTCGCTCTACTACAAGTACCCCGCTATAGCAAGTAACTTACAAAATTGCGTGCAATAAGTTCTCTTCTTGCAAAAAGTAGATAATGTCTGGACCGCTTCTAAGTGACCTCTATCTAAATCTTGGCATTTTGAGTGGTCGCTTACGGAAGTCTTGACTGTTGTGAATTTTTAAAACGTTAAACTGTTATTGTTGCTTTTTCCCTTCAGGTCCACTGTATGTAGTTGTAGAATTCGCTCCAAATGGTAACTTAAGACAGTTCTTGAGGGAAAGGAGGCCAACCAGGGAATACCCCACAACACTGACGCTAATGGACCTAGTGTCCTTTTCGTATCAGGTCTGCAGAGGAATGGAATATCTTTCTTCGAGAAAGGTATGTGTAAGCAGATGTAGGAGTTTTTAGATGACTGTATGAGCAACGTATGATCGATTTAGTAGGAGCTTCGAATTAGTTCTGGTTCGAGTTATTAAGGTAACATTTTAGGAAAGGTACATGTCTGAAGAAAATACAGGAGAAATCAATTCTGTTTCGAGTTTGTGCTAGCTTCAACCGAGGCTTGGAATTTCTGGGTGTTAACTGTTTACATCAGTGGGGAATCCAGATTTTGAGATAAGAAGTTGGGGCGGGGGAAGATGGGGGTCCATGCATCACGACAGACATTATGATTATATAAGCCGGACGCTTTTGAATTTTCTTCACGGCCTGTGGGCCGAAGAGAGGATTCATCGGTTAAGGCCAACGTAAAATAACAAGTCCTACTTTTTTTTATTAGTGTATTCATCGTGATCTTGCTGCCAGAAACATTTTAGTTGGTGACGATAATACGATGAAGATTGCAGACTTTGGTCTGGCTAGAGATGTGCATCAAGTCGATTATTACAGAAAAACAACAGACGTAAGTATTACATAATGATGTTAACTTAAAACGCTCAAGGGTGGTATCATTTTTCCCACTAAAGAGGACACATCTATTTAAGTTTCACTCGTACTAATTGCAGTAGGCAATGAAATTTCTTAAACTGAAAACAAAAACATAATTATACATCACCAACAGTAGTAAAAGAGGTTATGTCACGCTATTTTCTTTCTTTTTGTTAAAAAAAAAAAAAAACGAAAACGTTTCTTCGCATCAATTGAATTCCAAAAATAATGGCTCAGTTTAAGACTATATTTGGGCATTTAAAATGGGTTTTAGCTATGCTTGCATAAATCACCCCCAAAAAATTATTATGATTAGTTTTTTTAATGATGTTTTGTATTTCTTCTTCGTAACTCTACAGTAGCAGTTTGTGTATTGGTAATAGCGTTAAGTCATGACTTTGGCACAGAATTGACCTAAATCAGCAATAGATGAAAGATGATTTTTCAATCAGTGACACACGCGGCTCGATAGAAAAAACTCGAGTACTACCAATAGGAGTCGAACCTCATTCTCGTCCCCAGAGCCTGCTGGTGGCCTGAGAACGAAGACCAGGAGGCTCTGGGGGCACAGGATTTGAAGTCCTAGATTTTAGGACTTCCGGTCATTTCCGGTTCCAAAGTAAGTTGGAGGATTCTCTTTTAAAAGCGTTGAATCACCTAAATTTACAGTAATCGACACTTCTACAAGAGAAAGTGGACGCTATTTGAAACGTTTTAGAAATCAGAAATGAACGGAAGTCCTAAAATCTAGGACTTCAAATCCTGTGTCCCCAGAGCCTCCTAGTCCTCGTGCTCAGGCCCCCAGGAGGCTCTGGGGACAAGAATGAATCGAACCTATGAACATCTGATTACCAGTCCAGATGCTCTACCACTGAGCTACAGAAGATTCTTTGGAGCTAAGTCACTAAACTAGGTTCATGTGACAAACATCCTCCATATTGCTAGTACTAGAATGTCGATAGGTGCTTGATGCGCAATCATAAAATGATAAAGATGTGGTAGTGAACCTATGACCTTCTGGTTACTAGTCTAGATCAATGCTTTATCACTAAGCTACAGGAGATTCGTTTGAGCTAAGGCCACTAAACTAGGTTCATGTGACAAGCATCCTGTATACTGCTAGGACTAGAATGTCGGTTTGTGCTTATGCGCAATGATAAAGATGTGATAGTGAATTTTGACCTTGCTGAATACACAAGAAAGAAGATTTTTCAGTCAGTGACACAGGCTGCTCGGAAGAAAAAATCCGCGTGACGTAGCTCCTTTAAAGATTAGAAACTACTTCCCAAACACGGGACAGGGGCTCTCTCCACCGAGCTACTCCTGTAGAGCAATTCCATTTACCAAGTTCATATACGTCCTACATGCTGGTAGAATCATCAGTGTTCTCATTTAAAACTGAGGTTTAAATTTGACCTTTAAACAAATATAATGATGATGATATACCCATTATGTTAATTTGGTGATGTTTTTTAAATTAGGGACGACTACCAGTGAAGTGGATGGCCCTCGAAGCCCTCTTCGATCGTGTCTATACTACGCAAAGTGACGTGTAAGTACTTTGAATTGTCGCTTGGTAAACTGTGTGGTGAGGCAGAAAACTGTTGTTGTTGTTGTTGTTTTGTTGTAGTGAACCTGTTATAACCTTTACCCCTTTTATTCCTACACCATGTTATGCCGGGATGCTTTTTCACTCCAACTTTTCAAGCTGGGTACGAAATTGTATATGTCACTATTCAAATATCAACCTCTCCCAAAACGTTTGCAAAGTAACATAATTGATTTCTTAGGATTTTACGGCGAGATATTTGGAATTTCTGCGAAAAAACAAAAGCTCAAAAATTAGGAGTTTGAGAACAAATCTCAAGCCGTTTTGTTATTAAAAGTTACTCTTGGGTGATAATCTAGAGGCTAAAGCCTACGGGGGATCAGTTCTCCCAACCTTTGTCCTGTCCTACCTCAGTAGAACTCATAAATAAAAACCTCGTTTTCGAAGTACAGTCGACTCTCTCTAAGACTGACACCTCTGGGACCAACTTTATGTGTCTGTTTAGAGAGATGCCCGTCTTACAGAAGAGAGTCAACTAAAAGGAGTAAACTAGGGACTAACTCTAGATGTCCATTTTAGTGGGGTGTCCGTCTTATAGAGGTGTCCGTCAAGAGAGAGCTGACTGTATAAGTAATAACAATCTCTGATATCCAAGTCAAAAGGTTTTTTTAAACATGGTTCTTTTTTCTTTCATCAGGTGGGCCTTTGGTATACTTGTATGGGAAATAGTTACTTTTGGTACGTATATTCACGAGCTAAAGAATAGCTCTATCATATGTCGCATAAAAATAAAAATGTCTTTCACTGCCGAATCACCAGAATACCCTCTTCCACTTTCTTTAATGGTTAATAGTCACACTTAATTAACGTTTTTATTGCGTTTTATCTGTAAACTGTTACGTCTTTAACTGCCAAATGCTCTTTTCTAGGAGGGTCACCATATCCTGGCGTTCCTTTGGAAAACCTGTTTGAACTTTTAAAATCTGGATACCGAATGGAAAAGCCACTCAGTTGTCCAGAGAACATGTGAGTAGCCAATCCGGTTTCAATTGTCAATGCATAAAAGTCTTCTTTTCTACGCTTTTGTGTCTAACGTTCACTTTGAACTTCGGAATTGCATTGTAATTGGCGTATTTCCTTAAGCGCACAAGCTCTAATAAGCGTCCTCCCACGGATTAGCGCCCACCCGTCGGTTTAACCCAGGGCGGATAAAGGTTGGGCGGTGAAACGAGCGCTCCGCTCTTCATTTAATGTGTGATGCGGAGTAGGACTGGCACGAGCGCTCTTTCCGCGCTTCCGGTGCGCTTGAAGGCCGGCGAAATTTTCCTTTTTGGAAACCGGAAATCCTATTTTCTTTCTGTAATTTCAGGCTACAGTGTTAAATAGATAAATTCGTTTCATAACAATATCAATAAACAGTTTCATATGTTTGTGTCTGTACGTCTATAAGTCAAACTTGTTGGTCGTGTAATGCCAAAATTTGAGTTTTATTTGAAAGTGTTGAATACCTTCCCCTTCCACTAAATATCACCTAATCGTCTTTCACCGTTTCGTTTGCAAAAGCTTAACACTTCTTAACCTCAATTTTTACATATGTTAAAGGGGGATAAATTTTATATAACATAACAAAAAATTAGATTGATATATATTGATATAGTGGCGTTGCACTTCTTCAAACTTTGCTTCTCGGGTGCAACGCGCCATGGCGATTCGCGCAATGCGTTGCAAATCCGGCAACCGCATGTAAACAAAATCTATTGAGGTTAGTTGTAAGGTTTTTTCGCCGTTTTTCTCTCTAAAACAAAACAAGGTAAACAGTAAAAACTGAGGGGAAACTAATTTTGAAGTTTCGAAGTAAGAGAAAGACGTATGAGATGTTTTTTTCAAAATTAAAAAGAAGGATGATGGTGATTGAAATTAGCATAATTTCACCTTGCACGAGCTGCACGCATTTATAAAATACGCGTCATCTACTGCTGCCTTTTAGTTTTGCCAGGGATGACATGGATGAGATTTTCCCTTGTGTTTTAGACAGTACTTAGTTGTTTTTGTTTTGGAATAACATCGACATTGGCGAGTAGCAGAACGAAAATATAATTCAGTGGTAGAGTCATGGAAGTAATAAAAGAAACCCTTTGAAAGAGATGTTTGTCTACTCCAACTAAACCTCCCGCAAAAAATAGCAACATTTGCCTCTCGGAAGCGTACCAGAGGCGGTACGTAAGCACAGAGGAACGAGGAAGAAGTGCAAGAAAACAAATCAAGCTGCCATAATTCAGTGAGAGCGGCAGTGTCTAATGAACAAACCACATCGCAAACCCTGACCGAAGTCGAAAACAAGCGACATTTCTAAGCAGAGTCCCAGTCCACTGCATCACACCTTTTTGCTCGGACGCGCTCGTTTCACCGCCCAACCTTTATCCGCCCTGGTTTAACCAGTGCAAATAATAAGCCCTTCCCTCCCCACTTCTTCTTAGAAGATGATCTACATAACGGAGGTAGCCGAAACTGACTAATCTAATCCGAAGCTGTCTTCCGATAGCGAAGTGAACTGTAAAAAAAAACAAAAAAAAAATTAAAAAAAAAATAAATAACGGGGCTCTGTTTTCGTATTTTCAAAGTTTTTGGTTTTTACCTTATTTTCTTAGGCATGAAATTATGTTGAAATGTTGGCAAGAGTTACCGATGAAAAGACCTACATTTGAGGAACTGGTCAAAGAGTTCGATGCCATGCTTGTGTCACTATCAGATAGTGTAAGTAGTAAACTGCTTTTCATACGTCAATCGATCATTTACGGTTGTGAGTTCAGTAACCTAGCCTTTGAGTGAATGTGAGGCTGAGCGAGCGTTTATATGAGAAAAAGTTTACCCCTTTTCCCGAGCCAAAAGCGCTCGCATGGTCTAATTGTCTCGCCTTAACCGAGATGACCCGGCTGGGCGAGCTATTGTGCCGGTTTATATGGAGAACAGTTGGCCCGGCTTGGAGGGTGTACACCTCGTTTTACGTCTTAACCCACTCCCTTTCATGTCTTTCAGTGCCGTTTCAACAACAAGAACATCATTTATTGGCAAAAATAAAATAGATTTTCTTCATGTTCTCACCGCCAATACGTTTACAAGATAACCACGCTTTGCTCCGCCAGTCAATTGACTTAATTGACCGCCAATCAATTAACTTTCCAGTCAGTTAAAAATAAATGAAAATACAGTGTTTTCCGTTAAAACACTGCGTATGAACCTTTCTTTTTTTACTGGACGGGAAGGCTTCTGGAACGATGCCCATGAGAAGTAATGGCGTCCTGAAAAACAAAGAAACAAACAAAAAACTAACATTAACTAACAACCGAACAAACTAGCCTCTACTTTCTCCGTTGTTCTTTTGTCCCAAACTTTACAGCGTTGTTGTATATTTCACCTGAATCTGTACTCGTTTCAGGAATATATTGATCTGGAAGCATCACTTATGACTCCATTGGAACCATCAACTCCAACATCATCAGAACCGCCTTCTACTCCGCGAAACTCAGTAGGAACTGAACATGAAATGGAGAGTGATGATAGGGACAATGACAGCGTGTTCGTTGATAATACCAACGATATTTGGGAAGTCCGTAATCTTTCGAGACACGCGAGGAAATCGGAGGGTGGCCGGAACTCCAGAACGTCATCACTTTTAAATGGACAAACGGACAGAAAATGCGCTCGACATGTATCGAACCCTGAGATAGCTGACAATAAAAAACCAACGCGTGTTACTGCTTTTCGTTCACCAATACAAAGCGATGTGTGAATTTAAAGTATAGCGAGGTGATGTCGAATATCATCTGAGCAGCTACGGGAAATATGGAGTGACTGAGGGAATACTTTTGGAGTTGTTTTAGTCATGTAATCCGTGACTTCTTTGGCTGCCTCATTGATGCCGGCTTGACTTCGTTCATCATGGTGTATTGCAATGAGGATTCCACCTGACATCAAGTACTCTATAATACCCGTGAGCCAAATAAACAAGAAGCCTTACAATGCAACACCTAAAATACCTTGGTGAGACCAACGAAAGACTGAATAATTCCCTCGGAAAAAATCTTATGTTTGAGTCTAGGCCATAAAATTTTATTCTAGTTCTAATTTTTGGCTTAATTTTCATTTTTCCCAGTCTTTAGCTGTTCTGCGTCAGTGATATTAACATCGGAGAAGGCTGTCACCTATTGAGTTGACTTGAACTGGAAACCACCCCCCAAAGTATTAAAAATATATTTGTATATAGATAAAGAGGACTTTAAACAAAAATATTGGTTATGGAAAGGATATAACTGATTCAATGAAGGTTGCTTAGGCATTGGGCAATTGCTTATTAGGAAGCTATTGTTTGGTGATCACTCAAGCAAATCAGTGCTTTGTTCCATATGCTCAAATGCCCAATTACCGATGACCAATTGTCAAAGCAACCTTTTTTGATTTAGCAGTATATCCCAGATAGGTTTAGGAGAAGAGTACAAATAAATTCGTAGTGACAAAGACACTGCTGGTGTTGTTTGGTTTGCTGCTTTTGAGTTAGTCTCCAAGAAACCACTTTCAACCGAATGTATTGAAAAAAATCACTATTATGGGGCTCTAAGTCAATAGTTGTTTTAGTAAAAATCCAAATACTTGGTCAAAAATATCGAGACAAAACAATTTTAGCTAGCAGAACGCGATTCAGCCGCCATGGTTTTGCTTTTCAAAGCCGGCGCTTTTCGCTACTAGTGGGCTGTAACATATGGCCTAGTAGTAGCTCAACCAATCAGAACGCAGCATTGATAATAGACCACTAGGTTGACCAATGCGTTTGAATGAAGTGTAGCTGTTGTGGTTCAATTTCATCCTTGGTTTAAATTTTATTTCCCTTTGTTTTAAACTCGTTAACATACATTACCATACCTCAAAGCAAAGGAAAATAAAATTTAAACCAAGGAGTTATCTTTGTTTATCTTGTATTAAATCAAAATTAAAGATTATTTGGGTTTTTTACAACAGCATTTCCCGAATCTCGCGTCACGAAAGCGAAAATCTCGCTCTCTGTGTCCTCTAAACTCCCGAATCCCGGCCTTCAAATAAGATAAATCCCGGATCCTGAGAAACCTATTGGGGACCCTACTGCTCTCTTACGTACCACTCGTTTCCGTTTAGCTAACTATGTAAAACACAGAGACAAGCGAGGGCAAGGGGCATAAAAAGGAGCAAAAAAAAAAAAAGAAGAAAACCTGAAAAAAATAAGAGCATTGGGGAGTGGCAGGAAAGAAAAGGAATCGCCTCGTTTAGCTAAAACGAACCAGAAGCGACCTACTTCCAAGGCTATTATTGTTAAAAAAGACAGTAAGATCATTACAAACAACATGCTTTCCCTGGCTTCAAATAATTTTCCGGGTAACGAAGGTTAATTTGTCCGGTCAAACCTAGTTTTATTTCTGGAGAAGTCTCCCCTCCCCCTGGTGGATATTTAAAGTAGCTTCACTGTTTCTCAAGAAATGTTTATAAAAATAATAATAAGAAGAATAATGATATGTATAATGATAATAATAATAATAATAATAATAATAATAATAATAATAATAATGATAATAATAATAATAATAATAATAATAATAATAATAATGATAATCCTGTTCCTGTTTTGGAGATCCGATTCTTTGTCCATCTAATCGCTCCTCTACTGCGATACAGTGAAGGAGTGATTAGGTGGACAAAGAATGAACTTCAAACATGCAGGATGCATAGGACGGTGAAGACACTGAAAAGGAACTGCACCCCAGAAATGATCCTGCAAGAATATTTCTATCAATGAAGAAAGTGGGAAAAGGACTCATTGGCTGTGAAGCTTATGTCTGTGGGAAGAAAGTAATTTAAGTTGGTATTCAAGGAATTCCTAGGAGCTGTTGCTTCGCAAAGTAGGTGAACAAGGAACAGTGAAAGTGGATGAGGCAAAGTATCCACTAAGGAGTATAAAAAGAGTGAAAAGAGAGATGATGGAAAACAAATGGAAAGAAAAACAAATGCAGAGGTAATATGGCAGGGACATGACGGGAGTGGATTGGGAGAAAACACGGCAGTGGTTGTGGAATGGGGACCTCGAGGGATGTACAGAAGCATTGATCTGCAGCGCACAAGAACAAGATTTAAGAACTAACTATATGAAGTTTTACACTGACAAAACCTCAGAATCAGAGAAAGTGTAAGTCACCTAACAAGTGAGTGCTGCAAGTTAGCCCGACGTGAGTACAAAAGGCGACATGACAATGTGGCGCGGTATGTACATTGGCAACTGTGTGGGAAGGCCGAACTAGAACGAGCAGATCAGTGGCACAAACATACCCTAGAGCAAGTGTTATGGGATTTCAATGTACCGTGTGATAGGATGGCTAAAGCTAGAAGGCCGGACATCATCTTCGTTGATAAGCAGGCAAAGGAGGCTAAGATCGTAGACGTATAGCTATCCCTGGCGATACACGAGTAAAAGACAAAGAACTGGAGAAAATATAGCCTGCGATCATGCCCTCTCCCTTTATCTCTGTAATCTGTTTTCTGTTTTTCCCTCTCGAGCCAAAGAAGCAAAGAAGCAAAGAAGCAAAGAAAAAAAAAAAAAAACGCCTGATCTCACGTTAGAGGAAATAGAGAAGTACCAATTTCTTCGAGAAGAAATCGAAAAGTTGTAGAAACTGAAGAAAGTGACGGTTGTGCCAATTGTGATTTGGGTATTCAGAGTTGCATCCGATATATTTGAGAAGTACGCGGGCATCAGACTTGAAGTGATCCAGAGAGCGGCTTTGTTGGGGAGGGAAAGTTTTGGCCATTTAGGGACTCAAATGTAAGGACTCTTTTGGGACCTTTAGGAACTTTTTGTTGCTTGCTCTCAAGGGTAATTTACCAGGCAATGTAAACTTTTTAAGCCTGAGATTCTACAATGTAATAATAATAATAATAATGATAATGATAATGATAATGATAATAATAATAGTAATAATGATTCTGTTTGTTAAAGCAGATCAGAATTTTAACAATTTTTATTTTTTGCCAAATTGGGAAATTTAAATCTCGTAAAATATACCCGTTCCGTTTTCGCGAAATCAAGTTCCAGCAAAAACGTAACAATAGGGCATCAAACACGTGCACACGCTCTTGATACTGTACATAACACCTTTAATTGAATACGAACTATTCCACGCCTCCGAACGCTACCTACCCCACCCCGCGGGAAAGTTGCAACGTTCGACTAAATCTTTAATAATCTGTACATTTGTGCATTTAGATTTCGCTTTTGTTTTTTTTTTCAGTTTTTCTCACATGTTACCAAGTCATTACATGCAACAAAATTTCGTCTAGGTGTATTGTACTTCAAAGCAATCTCCAAAAGCGAAGTATAAAAATATTAAACATCAGGGCTCGAAAAAAAAATTTGACGGCCAGCTTTTACCAGGGCCATTGCTTGCTCGTTTTAGTTAATGATTTAGGTACGAGATGACTCGCTTGGACCATTGTCTAGTAGACAATTTAGCCTGGTTCAAAACGCTACTTGCCCAGCAAGAAAACCTGATTGTCCCTGAGAACCGAACGGGACTTTTTCCGTCTCAAGTAATTCACACCGCCACACTAGCTACTTCTGAATTTGCGGTGATGAATTGAGGAATAACAAAAGTGATAATTTATAATTCCCGAATATTTAAAAACGATAAGAACATTTATTTTGTTTTCTATTGGAAGCGTAAACGACCGACAAAATGTCCAGTAAGCCATACATTTGACCAGACAAAACTTATTTGTGAACGGGCATTACCCGTTGACGATTTCCTGGTGCCGATCCTTAGCTCGACGGCTTGCAAGGTGTTTGTTTACTTATGTCAACTTACTACGAATTCTTTCTACATATACATCTTTTTTCTAATCATCTATGCTCTTCCGCTAAGTTCTTTGGCTTGATTTTATTCTACCAAGTGGTTGTACACTAATGCCAAGTTGTGATGATTTGATTCTATACAGGCATGATCTTCACCGAAAATCTTTTTATAAATCATCAGTGCTTTTTCGTGAGGTTTTTTGGCCTGTTCGTATTCTCCCGCGTTGTTGTACACTGATGCCAATTTATGATAACTTGCTATTAGGCATGATCTTCACCGAAAATCTTTTTACTTTTCGTGAAGTTCTTTGGCTTGATTGTATTCTCCCAAGCTGTTATAAACTGATGCCAACTTGTGCAAACTTGTTGCTACATGGACATGATCTTCACCGAAAATCTTTTGGCGAATCATCAGTGCCTTTTCGTGAAATTCTTTGGCTTGAGTGTATTCTCCCGAGCTGTTGTAAACTGATGCCAGCTTGTGATAACTTGTTGCTACATGGGCATGATCTTCGCCAAAAATCTTTTTGCGAATCATCAGTGCTTTTTCGTGAAGTTCTTTGGCTTGACTGCATTCTCCCAGGCGGTTGTATACTGACGCCAGCTTGTGATAACTTATTGCTACATAGGCATGATCTTCACCAAATATCTTTTTGCGAATTGTGAGCGCTTTTTCGTGACGTTCCTTGGCTTGATTGTATTCTGCCAGACGGTTGTACACTGATGCCAGGTTGCTATGACTTGTTGCTACATCGGGATGATCTTCACCAAAAATGTTTTTATAAATCATAAATGCTTTTTCGTGGAGTTCTTTGGCTTGATCGTATTCTCCCAAGCTGTAGTACACAGATGCCAAGTTGTCATAAGTTGTTGCTACATCGGCATGATTTTCACCAAAAATCTTTTGGCTGATCATCAGTGCTTTTACGTTAAGCTCTTTGGCTCGATTGTATTCTCCCAGGCTGTTGTACACTGAAGCCAAGTTGTTATAACTTGTTGCAACGTAGGGATGATCTTCACCCAAAATCTTTTTGCGAATCATGAGTGCTTTTTCGTGACGTTCTTTGGCTTGTTTGTATTCTCCCAGGCTGCCGTACACTGATGCCAGCTTGTGATAACTCGTTGCAACATAGGGATGATCTTCACCAAAAATCTTTTGGCGAATCATGAGTGCTTTTTCGTGAAGTTCTTTGGCTTGATTGTCTTCTCCCAGGCTGCTGTACACTGATGCCAATTTGTGATAACTTGTTGCAACGTAGGCATGATCCTCACCAAAAATATTTTTGCGAATATCGAGTGCTTTTTCGTGAAGTTCTTTGGCTTGATTGTATTTTCCCAGGCTGTTGTACACAAATGCCAAGTTGTTATAAGTTCTTGCTACATAGGCATTATTTTCACCAAAAATCTTTTTGCTAATCACTAGTGCTTTTTCGTTAAGTTCTTTAGCTTGATTGTATTCTCCTAGGCGGCTGTACACTGATGCCAAGTTGCTATAACTTGTTGCTACATTGGCATGATCTTCACCAAAAACCTTTTTGCGAATCATTAATGCTTTCTCTTGAAGTTCTTTGGCTTGATTATATTCTCCCAGGGTACTGTTCACTAATGCTAAGTTGTTCAAACTTGTTGCTACATGGGCATGATCTTCATCAAAATTCTTTTTGTAAATCAGCAGTGCTTTTTCGTGAAGATCTTTGGCTTGATTGTATTCTCCAATGTTGAAGTGTACTGGTGCTAAGGTG